TTTTCCTTTCTAACATACTTCACATGTGTATTATCTTTTTAAATATCTGCCTGCCTTGCTAGTTTTAAGCTCCCTGAGGGCAGTGAACAGTGTCTTTTTTTTATTCATTGCTTATGCCATATTGCCAGCACCTAGCCCAGGACCTGGCACATTGTAAGCATTCTATTAATATTGGTTGGCTGAATAATCAAAATGAATGCACTCCTTAAATAATTTTCCCTGTAGGAGCAAAAGCAATTATTTCTTTTAGGATGCTCTAGACAAGAGAGTAACATTTCAAAAACAGCATGCCAAGAAAGCAACCCGTATTCTACAAGAAGGAGGGCATGAGCTGTAATAACATTAACATTTCCCAACCCTTAGGAGGAACATGTGCTCACACACTGTCTCCTTTGAGAGGAAATAGAAATAAGCTCGGATTCTCAGAAGTGGCAGAGGCAGGGTGTGGCTCTATAGCAAACAGCGTGTATGTCACTGACAATGAGCCCCAGAGCCTTCTTACTGAGAATGGTCCCCCACGAACTCATGCTGTGGCTCACCAGCCCAGTCTAAGGTACCCTCACAGTTTAGCTCCGTAATTTCTGACTTCACCAACTCTCTGAAGTTCAGCTTTCATTAATGTCAGGGTAAGAGTAACAAGTTTTTAAAGGCTGAAAACATAGGACGTTAGGTAAAATAGGCCTAGTGATATCCCTATGCCAGTTTCTGTTTTGGTCTTCTTCTGAAAGAAAAGAGGACAGAGTCCACAAAAATAATAGTAACCTGGAGAAACAAAACTTGATAAACCCAAAATACTTATTCAGGAGGCCTAGAACTCATTTATAATGCCAGCTTTTTTTTTCCTTATCATGTAATCGAAGAGAAAAAAAAGCAAAACACTATAGTTTCTTAAATTCCACAATGGTTTTAGTGAGTTTAGTAACATTAGAAATTATTACTATTATCAAAGAGGCAAGTGTTTTTATAAGTTTTATTTTTGATATTGCAAATTTTTAATTCACAATGCTAAGATACAAAATACTGGCCTATAGTAATGAAAATCTGAGTTTTATTATAATCTGCTAATTAATATAACAACACACAACAGATCAACAAGAATAGAATTCTAATCAAGTTGGGGCCTGTGTTAATTAGCCAAGAATGCCTCAAACACCAGGAAAAGAAAAATGCCAAACACAATATTGAAATATCTCCCCTGGACACAGTTTGCTTTTAAAAAAAAAAAAAAGCTGGCAATCTATTTTGTGCAAGCATTTTTTGCTTCTCTACATTTATGGCAATCACAAACTAATCCAGACTTAGGAAACCTCGTCATCAAGGAGAAAAGAATGGACAAAGGAAAATCTTTTATTTTTTATCCATGCAAAATAGGGGGTATTTAGAACACAGTCTTCTCTATTAAAAGAGCCAGTATTATTTTTGAGGATGCAGGGTGGTTGTTATCCATTAAATCAAGTAAAAATTGCTTCATTTTCAAATCCACAGACCTCTGATATTGTATCGCATTTGTCCATTTTTCTCAGAATCTAAAAGAAAATTTTCATAGAAGTACTAACAAAAATTTTGACATAATGATTTGGGATACAGCAATATTGCCATTAGACCAATTCCTTCCCTAAGAATTATTTTTTTCCTTAGAATAAAATATTTAATGTGAAAAGTAGATGTTTTGTTAGTAACTTACTATGCACTATTTTTCAGAAACTTAGTCTGTCCATCCGTTTAGTAGGGGAAAATATATTTGCAATCACTTGCCAGTGATAGACTTCAGGATGCATTACCCCAAATTGACACCTTGGCATTTGAGAAAACAGCACAAGCAGGAAGGTCACTCTCACCTTTCCCTGTCCTTCTCCCCTGAAGCAGGTCATAAAACCTAGAAAGTATTTTCTGACCTTCCCATGAAACAGGTCATAAGACCCTCATTCAATAGGTGCTCTCCATATACCAGGCGGGAAGGAGCTTCCTTATCTCTGAAGACACAGGGACACTGGGAGGAATCTGAGCAAACAGGCCTTGCTAAGTCCCTCTGGTTTATTACCATGAGATCAGACCCCGTCTGTCCAATCACTCTTCTCCATGATTATCCACTTCTTATCACACCTAGCATAAAAATACACAGGTTTACCTGCTTCTCCAGGTCTTCGTTTCCTTATGAAGGCTCCCATGATATGTAAATTTATTTTAAGTGAATTTGTATGCTTTTCTCTTGTTAATCTGCCTTTTGTTATAGGGGCCTTAGCCATGAATGTAGCAATAGGTGAGGAAAAGATATTGCTTTTCCCCTACAGCAAAAAGTGTTTTATGGGTTCATATTCTTCTATCTAGTAACACCAATTCTAAAAAAGGACTCTAAGAAAATAATTTAGTAAAGGAAATACTTGTCTTCATTAAACTACTCATTACAGTATGTCTTAAAACAACAGAAACTGGAATAGCCTAAATGCCCAACTAGAAAGAAATAAGGAAGTGGTTAAGCAAATGCAGGTTAGTCAACCAAGTGGAATATTCCCCAATTATTACAAATTAAAATGATGCCGACCACGTAGTACTATGAAAAATTTTTACAGATTGCAAAGGAAGAAGAATACACTACAGTGACAAGTGAAAAATATCTGAGATTTTCTTAATAGTACACTGAAAGGCAAGTTCACGAGGAGCCCTTCATCTATGTGTAAACATTCACCCGTGTGGTCACATCTCTCAGAGTGTCACCTTGCTGCTCCTGCTGTGGGGGTCTCTGTGGTCTCTCGGGGCCTTTCCTCATTCCTCTCTGTGCCTTTGCTGCACTGTAGACCTCGCCTGCTGGGCACTTCTGGCTACTCCTGACAATCCACATGCACCCCTTTCTTTGTTCAAGACCCAGCTCTGCTTTCCCTCCTTTCATAAAGTGGTCTATGACCCTGGAATGGAATGGCCTTTGGAGTCCTTAGTCCTTACTGTCATTTCCCTGATTGCTTTGAGTGACTCTTCTTCTCAGAGAGACTGCAAATTCCACAGGCAGAGGTGTTTCTAACACATACAATGAGTAATAAATACATGATTTTTGAATAAATTAATCAATGAATATAAACTCTTGAGAGCAGGGCCATTTCTTATCCTTGTAATTCCAATACTTATCATAGTGTTGGGCAAATAGTAGATTATCAATAACCCTTCACTAAACAAATGGATAAATGAATGACAGAGGTGTTTTTAACACATACAATGAGTAATAAATACATGATTTTGAATATTTTAATCAATGAATATAGACTCTTGAGTGCAGGGCCATTTCTTATCCTTGTAATTCCAATACTTATTATAGTGTTGGGCAAATAGTAGATTATCAATAACCCTTCACTAAACAAATGGATAAATGAATGTATACACAGGGTACTTTTAAAAGTTCATGGAAAAATAGAATTAAAAGACAATACAAATATTTCCGTGAACTTTTTGAAGGCCCCTTTGTATATCGTCACACATAACTTCTGGCAGCAATACCAGGGATATGTTTTTCTTATTCGTCCCTTTTTCACCTTCTTCTTCTATGAAGCATCACATAAGGCTCTTTTTCTAAAAGGAGTGTCACCCACGCAGAGCGCTTACCCAGGTCGAACTGGCTGGAAACGTAGCCACAGGTCTGCCGGACTTCCTCACTGTCCCAGCCCAAGGGATAGAGGGCACAGCCAGCACCGATCAGCAATCCTGCGAAAAGATAAGGTCAGAGCTTTACAATGCATCGCTGTATCCCTAGATCAAGGATGGGTGGGGAATCAATATTTAGCAATATAACAAGACCATGATGTTTACTTTTTGGAAAACACTAGTCACAACTTTCTTAAGCAATCAAGGTCAGTATGATTCCAAGAACAAGTTCAAGTCTGTTTAAAAGAAAAAAAAAAAAAAAACTTGACAGCTCAGTTTGGTTCCAACTTTGCCTTTTAAAGCATTAAAAGCCTTGCAAATCCAGTTTAGGAAATGCAATCCAGAAGCCCTTTCGATGGGTCTTGTAAAAAGCTGACCAATTCTACCATTAGTCTAGGTAAAGAAGAAATTTAAGAGCAAGCAAAAGTTCCTACTAGGTTATACTTCATCGTTTATTAGATTTATTTTGTTTCCAATTTAAGAATCATAATAGAATATTTCAGCATTGTCAAATTTTACGAGGGACAGAAAGAATATACAGATTTTCATGAACCACTTTGGCACGTTAATTGAACCTGTAAACCAACTGCTCAGTTGGGAATCCACATGTCTCAGAGATACTCTAGAAGACAGACACTGTAATCTAAGTCCTCCTTGAGCTAAAACCAAAGGTTTGATGATTAAACTGAAGAAATCGACAGGTTTATTTTAATATAAACTAAGTTATTAGGGCAGCACACTCTGAGCTGACAGCTTTCAATTGGCGAGTCTTCAGTTGTGCATGAAAGCATAATATGGTTTTACAAGAAGCTGAATGAGGTTTAAGCGCTCAGGTTTGAATCTGTGGGCTAATCTGAAAGTAAGATCTTGTCTTGTCAATCAGTGAGTATTATCATCACTAGTTAGTACCACAAATGTGCTAAGCCAGCAGGACCAATGTATACATTGTTGATGGGTGAGAATGTGGGTTATCAGGAGCTAAATGAGAGAGCCCCCTAAATAAGAAAATCCATTAACATGGTAATATGGAGGAGTGGCAGGGCCCCAAATGCTTCTATAAGAGGAGGCCTTCAATATTTCTGCACTGAGTCCCTTCCATCCCCCTTTTGTCATTCTCCCCTCCACCCTCTCCCCAGCCCCTGGTGGGTGACTTGGAGTAGTTTTAACCCATATGAATAATCTATTTCCTCACAGGCATCTAAGATGGGGCTGCTTTCCATCTCCCTCCCCAACCACTATGCTGAGCTGTAAGGAGAGACATCCCCCAGGGATATGTTTTTCTTATTCGTCCCTTTTTCACCTTCTTCTTCTATGAAGCATCACATAAGGCTCTTTTTCTAAAAGGAATGTCACCCATGCAGAGCGCTTACCCAGGTCGAACTGGCCGGAAACGTAGCCACAGGTCTGCCGGACTTCCTCACTGTCCCAGCCCAAGGGATAGAGGGCACAGCCAGCACCGATCAGCAATCCTGCGAAAAGATAAGGTCAGAGCTTTACAATGCATCGCTGTATCCCTAGATCAAGGATGGGTGGGGAATCAATATTTAGCAATATAACAAGACCATGATGTTTACTTTTTGGAAAACACTAGTCACAACTTTCTTAAGCAATCAAGGTCAGTATGATTCCAAGAACAACTTCAAGTCTGTTTAAAAGAAAAAAAAAAAAAACTTGACAGCTCGGTTTGGTTCCAACTTTGCCTTTTAATGCATTAAAAGCCTTGCAAATCCAGTTTAGGAAATGCAATCCAGAAGCCCTTTCAATGAGTCTTGTAAAAAGCCAACCAATTCTACCATTAGTCCATGTAAAGAAGTTATTCAAGAGCAAGCAAAAGTTCCTAATAGGTTATACTTCATCGTTTATTAGATTTATTTTGTTTCCAATTTAAGAATCATAATAGAATATTTCAGCATTGTCAAATTTTACGAGGGACAGAAAGAATATACAGATTTTCATGAACCACTTTGGCACGTTAATTGAACCTCGGCACGTTAATTGAACCTGTGAACTAACTGCTCAGTTGGGAATCCACATGTCTCAGAGATACTCTAGAAGACAGACACTGTAATCTCAGTCCTCCTTGAGCTAAAACCAAAGGTTTGATGATTAAACTGAAGAAATCGACAGGTTTATTTTAATATAAACTAAGTTATTAGGGCAGCACACTCTGAGCTGACAGCTTTCAATTGGCGAGTCTTCAGTTGTGCATGAAAGCATAATATGTTTTTACAAGAAGCTGAATGAGGTTTAAGGCTCAGGTTTGAATCTGTGGGCTAATCTGAAAGTAAGATCTTGTCTTGGCAATCAGTGAGTATTAGCATCACTAGTTAGTACCACAAATGTGCTGAGCCAGCAGGACCAATGTATACATTGTTGATGGGTGAGAATGGGGGTTATCAGGAGCTAAATGAGAGAGCCCCCTAAATAAGAAAATCCATTAACATGGTAATATGGAGGAGTGGCAGGGCCCCAAATGCTTCTATAAGAGGAGGCCTTCAATATTTCTGCACTGAGTCCCTTCCATCCCCCTTTCGTCATTCTCCCCTCCACCCCCTCCCCAGCCCCTGGTGGGTGACTTGGAGTAGTTGTAACCTATACAAATAATCTATTTCTTCACAGGCATCTAAGGTGGGGCTGCTTTCCATCTCCCTCCCCAACCACTATGCTGAGCTGTAAGGAGAGACATCCCCCCCATTGGCAGGTGCAGCCAGGGGCTGGCCCTTCTGCAGCGTGGCTTCCAGGCATCCCCTCCTCATCACCCACTACACTTAGGACTGAGATCACCAGCTGTAGCTCCTTTTCATCCCTGCACTTCCTGATTTCAGGAATTCTTCAAAACAGCTTCTCTGACCTTCACTTTCCCAGACCTTCTGATAGGTCTTTAAAACTTGAAATCCCTGAGCTACATCCCTTCCTACCTGAAATATCTGCAGTGGTTCCTATCACTGGCCAAACTGAATGGTACCTGCCCCACTTAAGCAAGGGCAGAGAGGCTGATACAAATCTTGATACTCTACCATTTTTCTTGAACATCATCCATTTCTTCAATTAAAAATTACCTCTAATATAATTTATGCTAATTCTTAAACTTCTGGGGGTCTCTGGTTAGGAAATTTAACATGGCAATTAACCTTTCCTGGAAGGATATTTCAAATGTTAACTAGCCATCCTTAGTGTGGACTGAAGTCCTCTAGCATTTTATTGTCTGTACTGAAGTACTGTATTGTAAAGTAGAGACAATTAAATGTAAAAGTGAGAACATCTTTCTAATGGAAGAAATTCGCCATTGTTCAGTTTTAGCCGTGTTAAACCTGAGTCCACGTTGTAGCAATCGATGTTTAATGGAAGCACAGTTTAGAAATCCTGAATTAGATACCACTTGGGTCTTGTGCTGTATGCTGAAATGGGGCTCAGAGAATATCCTGGAATTTGAAGTGATTGTCCAAATGGTATCTTAGTGACCTGACAGTTTTTAATAGCTCTAGTTGCCTAATTTGCTCCTGGGGAGTCAATGACTCCATTAGAATTTCTGGCTCACAAACTTTTATATTACTCACATGGATTTTCTTTATCAGATTTATAAACCTTGTGGTTACCACATGGGCTTAATTTTAACCAAATGCCTTTGTCACTGCCATAAAAGACATCACGAAAAAAGTCACATTATCACCCGTTTTGAAAATCTGTGCATATGGGAGAGAAAATGAGGAAGATGCTACAAAACAAGGCAGCCTGAGGAAGGTGGGAACACAGGCGGGTTGTCAGAAGGGGTGTGAGGTCATTTGCAACCACAGCCAAATGCCTTTGTCACTGCCATAAAAGACATCACGAAAAAAGTCACATTATCACCCATTTTGAAAATCTGTGCATATGGGAGAGAAAATGAGGAAGATGCTACAAAACAAGGCAGGCTGAGGAAGGTGGGAACACAGGCGGGTTGTCAGAAGGGGTGTGAGGTCATTTGCAACCACAGGCTCACTTGCAATTAAGATTATTTTTGCAATTAAAAATTGCAAAATTATTTATGCAATAAAATTATTTTTTAAAATTATTTTTGCCATCCTAAAGACTTTGCCACTTTTAAGGGGTCATAAGTAAATCACAAATTAGTGTAAATTCATTCAATCTTTAGTTTTCACCCAGCACCTTGGAGAAAGCAGCTATCTGGAGGCAATAGACCATGAGAAAGGCTATTTTGCAGGAGGTCTTAAACTGTACAGAGATGGTACCTCCTAAAAAAGAAAAAAATAATAATAATTCAATAGATAACTCAATAATCCTTAAGTTTTTAAAAATTCTATTTTAATATGCATGGCCTATTAGGCTGTTTCATCCTGAGTACCCTGGAGTTTGGGACTCACCCCAGTCAAGGACGATTAAAATATTTTAAGAGCCAAGTAAGTGGAATGACCTCTGAGAAGAAGCCAATGTTAATGGAGAAGAGACGACACAGATAGACAGGTGGGCACTTCAGAGCTGTTCATGATGCTGTGTTATTAAAGAAGTCTGTTCTCTAGCCCCGAATGGGCTCCTGGACCCAAACCTTAGCCTGAATATACTCTCTCTGGCCATATATCACCTATGGGAGAGTTCCTAATAGAAAATCTTATTAGTTTTCATAAAATGCTAGAAAGATCTGCCATGATACTAATTATTCCTTAGAACTTGAGTGTGAAGTCTGCAGTCTGTGAAGAGCTCAAAGTAAGCACCTGGGGCTGCGAATGTTCCCTTCTGCAAAACTCTTTCAATTCAAACTCAGTGCTGAACACTTAGCCAGTGGAGCATTAACATAACAATCCAGCTCCTGCCAAGAAGGAAAAACAAACCTCTAGTCAGCCAGTGCCAGTTACTCTCCACAGGTGGTAAGAATAGAATCCTCATGTTAAACTCATAAAGCCTTATTTTTTTTTCCAGGCACTCTTGAAAGTTTTTATGTGATCTCACTTTTTCTCCATGACTATCGCTCCATTCTTTTTCCACAGTTTATTCTTTTTTTATAGCGTAACTTTTTCCACCCATCGCCCCATCAGTGGTCACACCAGCATTTCCCATCAATTCATCTTTTATGTTTTGGATACTCTTTTCTGTCCTCCAGTTCTTTTATCTTCCTGTCTGTGGCAAGCACTGGGGGAAATTGTTTTCTTTATTGTTCTCATGAAAGATGCTCAATCTTGTAGCCTGTTATCTGGGTTTTTCTTTGGAAGAGGTTGGCATGTTTCCATCTCAGAGTCTCCACATGCTAATTTATGTACATGATATTCCTTCATTTTCATCCGCAGATAACTGCCCCTTTACAAAATGTAGCAACAAAATAAATCCAGTGGTGGGGAGCGAAGAAGTGAAAGGGCCAGTATTATAAATCTTCAGACCCCAAAAATGCACTTAGGAGTATACTATTTGAGTATTCCACAAAAAGAAGGCTTGGTTCGGCTCTAGTAAACCATGCCTCCTTTCAAAGTGCTTTCTGGAAACTGAGGCACAGAGGATGTAAGAAGCTTGTCCAAGGACACAGACCTCAGATTAATCCCAGAACTCCTGGATCCTGGTCCAGAGCTCTTTTCCTCCTATCATGACCCCAGTGCCTGGACATAAGTTCACTCCAACATCACATGCTCAGCACTCACAACCTGAGTTCACCCAGATACACGTTGGATTTGACCAACATCATGTTTTACTAAGTGGGACTTTGTATGTCTAAGTCCAGATTTCTTGCCTCTCTTGAATCATTAAAAGATGTGCTAATATTGAGCCTGCACACAGATGGCTAGAGACAAAACACAGCCATCTCAGTAAATGCCTTAGGTGCCCAGTCTCAAAGGCATTTCTGACTGGGGATTCCTAACTTATTGTACCTACTACTGGTTCTCTGAAGTCTTTAGCTTTGTCATCTCTGAAAGTTAAATCCCTTTTCTCTATGATACTCTCACTCTTTGCCTTAAATCTCAGACTCCACCATGAAAATACTGGCTGTTAAGGTCTAGAAACGTCAACACACAGCCTTCCCTGGCCACCCCAGCAGTGAGCTGTGTCACTCCTCCTGTGAGCTCCTATTGTGATGCACTCGCCACCATGTATTTGAGGCTTTCCCTATCGCACTGTAGTTATTTATAAGTATTACATCTCCTAGAAGGCTGGAAACTGTACTATGTTTACTTGCATCCAACTCACTCATTCATGGTATTTGTTAAACATTAAATAATAGTAATATTATTTATTTGGTACTTACAAATGTCTCAGAATAATTATATGACAGTTATATAATAGATAATATAAAATTGATCTGTTTTATATTATCTAACATTTAACAGACGAGGAAACTGAATCTTAGAGAAGCAGGCCTATGCTCACAAATCTGCTAAATGGTAGATCCAGAGACATACATCCAGGTCTGCCTCAGCCCTAAGCCAGGGCTCCCAACCTCTATCTTCCAATGGTTCCCAAGTCCCCAAGTGTTCATTGTACCAATGCT